AACAGTCAGTGGTTGATGAGTCATTGGGGTGAATTTAACATCCTCGACTTTTCCTTCTGTCATTTGACCAAAACTGACGTAACTGAGCCGCAATAGGTCTGAAGATACATTTATATATTTTTTCCTTTATAAAAACATTGCTCCAGGAAGTCTTTTGCAATTTTATGGAATAAATTGAGGGATAGACTAAGTACATCTCAATATTAGTTCAAAGTTGATAAGTTTTATGAAGGCCAAACATTATCAAACAGGAACAAAACTAAGATAATTTTAATTGAATTATCTCCTTGGGGTGTTTAAAACGGAAGTATTTGACCAAAATAAATCTGCAGTGTGTAACTTTTCCAGTGAAGAGTCTGTCATATGCCTGGAATGTTTCACAGTATGACATTAAACCGGTCTATCTTCATGGAGACCAAACCAGACCAAACCAGAACCAGACCAAGTTACAGGTCAGATCTGTGGAGAGACGACCCCGCTCACAGTCAGAATATCTGTTTTTCTAGGTATTTTTGAGCTGTAAAACCACCTGAAATTGAATAAATGTAGAGTAGAGATTTTTAATATACTGTGGGGAACATTCCAAGCAGAGGAATGGCGTATCCACAGAAACAAGCAGGTGAAGGACCCCCAAACAAAAAGTTACATAGTGCACCTTTAATCTACATTTTATTGGCAGATATTGATCATTTGAACCATCCTTCAATGTTAAGGCTGGTTTTTATTTCTGTGTAGGGCCTTGGCTCAGGTGAGAGCTCATGTCTTGACACGGACCTGAACCATATAAGCTTCTGCGGAGCTCATCAGGGTCCAGGTGCATTACAGAAATCTAAACTATTTAATTTGAATTAAGTATTATTATTTTATTTACTCATGTTCATTTTAATCGACAAACCGAATGTAGGTTGCTGTGCGTAGCGTAGAGTGACCAAACAGGGGTCCGTACATGTGTCTCTCTGCACTCAGAAGGAGCGAGCAGACACAGTCGGTAAGTCTGCAACATGCTGAAGTGCAAATGCGTATTTAACGATGACTTGTACAAGAAATTCCACGCTTTTCGTTGTGGTCGGGACAAGTGGGAGGCCATGTGCACAGTGCACAAAGCAGCACATATGTTTCGTTGTCCAGTGGGAAAAAGTTCACCAGGACACCGAAAACATGAAAAAGCTTTGCCAGATGACAGTCGCTCAATGTCAATGACGAGGTCCCACTCTCACCCCCCGTACGGTGTCCTGGTTTTGACAAATGCAAATATGGTCACACTAACCTGTATTCCATTGAGTCATGTCGCATCAGCGCACAAGAGCTGTTTTTGTTCCCTTCACTTAGTTTATGCAAATTACCCAGGCTGTTTTAAGTTTCGTTTCTGTGAGAGTTGCGCAAATCTTATAATCTCAAACGGGTTTATATGTAGTAAAGATGAATTTATTTATGCAGATTAGTAGTGCAGATAGTAATAATAATGATGATCATTTTAATATAAAAAAACGTTAATGATTAATCGATAATCGATCGTTAATTCTCCCGACGATCAATTAAGAAAATTTTATTGAATGCCCATCCCTAATAATAATAAACAATCATATTAGGCTCAGACGCAAACATTTCTGTACCAAACTTTAACTGTTCCAAGCTTTTTTAAATCAGATGTCTGTGTAGTCTTCGTGAAGCAGCCAATCACAGCCCTTGCATTTGGCGGAAGTTGCAGAAGGAGACTAGTATACACACACGGACCACTGAGGGATTACACAGATAAGTCCACATGGTAATATAAACGAAAGTACTGTATTTTCTGGGCTATTAGACGCGCTCTTAAGCCTCTAAATGCATAAAAAAAACGACTGCGCACCCCGCAATCCAGAGCGCCCTATACACGAATCCACTCGCGCGTCCCAGCACGACTTCAGTAAACTACAAAGCCGCACCACCCGCAGCGCAAAGACACACGGAGCAGACAGCGACCGCACAGCGAAAAACACCCACAGACACATTCATCACTCCACACTGACGAGGAAAGGAACGAAGGAACGAACCGAAAAAAGCGAGTCCAATGTGCCACTTCTAGAGGCACAACTGAACAACTGAGTCACTGCGAACACGCCGACAATCCAGCGGTCCCAGACAGCACCCTCCCTACACGCTACAACTGAACAAAGCCCAGAGTCACCGTGAACGTGCCAAACAAAGTCCAACTGACCCATCCAACTGTTGTGTTTCGTTTAAAGTCCAGTGCGGTTTATTTGTGAAAAAAGTTTGAAAATAGACCATTTAATGACAGTGCTTCTTATAATCCAGAGCGCCTAATAGCCCGGAAAATACGGTACTATGATTTAGTGTTGTAAATCACATTCTATCTCTAATTATCATCGTGGTATCAAATTCAGTATTGGAGTATCAAGTCTACTCCTTAGTAACGAAATAGAGTTTGAAATTTTAGCACCGTGGCAACACAAACAGGAGAGGAGAATTATGTAAACTGAACAAGAACCTTTTCATTGTGAGGCGGGAGAAGCAGCCAACACAGCAACGAAAGCATCTATTTACAGTTTATACATTTCAAATTAAAAACAGATAAGGTAATGCAGTACAACAGTTAAATATAGTACATTACGGTTGGATTATCAGCCAGTTCCTCATGTTCTTGTAAAGTTTTGTGAGTTTGTGCGTTTGTGTGTGTGTCTGTTTGTGCTTTTGGTCAGGCAAATATTACAGAGCATGAAGATCTGCAGATAGGCACAGTTGTTATTTGCACCAAGGAAACCAATAACAGGAGTTTAATGGAGCATATTTACAGAAGGTTTTTAAAGCCACAGTATGTCACTTTTTTTTTTAGCAAATGGACTAAAATAGGGCAAATAGGTTTATCATTTCGGTTGTGCGTTGAAAACCATGCATTCTTAACGTGATTGGGCTTGAGTCTGGATCATTGTTGCACTGTTTTCCAATTATCTCTTGTAAAAAGCTAAGATTTTAGATTTTATTACTTATTTATCCATTTTCTTTTTACTTGTACAAACACATTTATATAATTATGTCTTATCTGACACCTGTCTCTTGCTCTTTTTTGCTACTTATTTAGAATTTATTGTTACCATTTATATTTTTGCTCTTTGTTATTATATTATATTGTGATGTGTGAGGTACTGTGTCTAAATAATTTCACTTGTGGTTCAATAATGTTAGTCTAAGTCTAATCTTCGAATAGTCAACTGAGAGGTACAGGGTTCCTTTCTGCAAAAATAACAACATGGACTGACTGTGCAGATGTATGGAGCCTGATTATATATTGTCCAGTTCTACAGGTTTTCCCTTTTCTCTTTTGTTATGAGGAGACAAATGATCTGATCTCCACAAATCTGACTTAACTGGCTTGGAGCAGGACCTAATCCTGCATGTTTACATAGAAATGCTGTTATTTTGGCTATAATATTCCACACTATGACATAACACCTATATCTGGGGAATGTTTGAAAGTATTGAAAGTAGAGGTGTAACTATAACCAAAATATATATCATAATATCTTGGGCCATCACAATATATCGAATCACAAGTTCCTTTGATTAAATTCATTGTTATGGTGCAGCAATAGCTAAAAAAAAAACAGATGGAACTACATCGACCATGATCCTTTGCTCCGTTTTGGTGCAAACCACATGACGAAATCACAGTTCGAAGCACTTTTAAACGTTAGTTATTTGAATTAAGTCTTGTCAAGGCATTTTAAGAGAAAACAGTAGCATATGCACAATTCAATTAGCCTCCACAAAATATCACAATAAATATCGTACCGAGAGATGTATATCGTGAAAATATCGTAATGTGAGATTTGGATATTGTTACATCTCTAATTGAAAAATATCAAAATATCGATATATCGTATCATTTAATGTGATGATACAGTATCAATATAGTGGGCTGCTGTATCGATATATTACCAACAGTATTTTTTGGTGTATTTTACTTAATTATTTTGTTACAGCGCTACAGTTTTGTTGCTTGATTAGTGGAAGGCATCTCGTTTATGCAACACATTTGACATAATCACTGTTTTGATGATTAAAATGGGCGTGTTTCATATTAAACCACTTCTTGTGCAAAGTTAACAATGACTTTTAATACCACAGCCATGATTTAGCCTTTACTTTTTATTGCACTGTATGGAAAGTGCACTGTATCAAGGTATGTATCGTATCAGCAACTTCTTAACGATACCCAGCCCTAATTGAAAGTGCTTTAAACTTTACATTTCCATGGAATTACACAGTTTATGCACCACTGCCTGAAAGTTACATAATGAATCTTTCAATGCAGCAATTTATTAGAAAACAGTTTTATGTGTTGCTGCAAATTAGATCCAGATGTTTTTTTTTTGTCTCTGTACTGAATAATGTCATTACTGGGTCAGGAAAAATATAGTATAGGCTATGTGGTGTACACTATAAAATACAAGAAAAAACTGTGCCCAAATATAGACTACAAACGCTTTCCCCGTGTAATCCTTGGCTTCCTGACTTTTCAAATGGACATTGTTCCAAACCAATCCCGGCGCCTCCTCCGGTAAAGCGGGAAAAGTTTCACCTCACTCGTGACGCTGCTTCATTACTGTAACCACGTCCAAATTATAGGCTTTCCTTCACACTGACACGTCAATACACACAGTTCAGACATGGACACGAAGCTGCAGCCTTTCAATCAGCATCACTATAGAAAGCAACACGTGTGCGCGAGCCCAGGTGAGGCATTGTTCCCGATCAAAACCGCTGCGTAAAAGGCACAGAAAGGGGGCTTTGAAGCGATGGAAACTGCTGGACCGCTGCATGAAAAGGACGCCCACAAAACAAGCGAAATTGCATTGTTTGTCACGTTCAACCAGTAACAATTGAGCGACAGTGGCTCGGCGATATGTTTCAGGCACAAAAACGCAATGACGAGAGCGTAAAGATAAACCAAACCGTGCGTAATTGCCCAAAAATAAGTTGGAAGTTTAAGTTTGCCTTACCCCGTTTCAAAGACTCCTCTCCCGGGTCTTCCTTCTGTACTTTCCGGTCACTTTTCCGCGATAAATCCAGAGAAATTCACTCCAACAAAACACGCACGAAAAAAACAACGACTCAAACTTGTACGTAGAGTCTGGGTTTGGTGCTGACAGCGGCTAATTCCCAGTTTTATAGCCGTGAAAGAGGCTCGTTTCTTGGGAGAAGTGAAGTCTGAGAGGCGGTCGGTGGTGCCAAAAGTGTGACAGTGCTGCGGTGGTGCTGCGTTCACAGAGCGACCGGAGTGGAGGAATTCACAAGTGCTGGGACAAAGCGTATGGGCGGAAAAAACGCGGTGAATTTATGGACATGGGCGTGGGTTGGATCTGTGGGAATGTAACGAGAGCGCATTAAACACGACACACATGCTTTGAGTTTATATGGAAATGTGCCTGTATGGTGGGCCTATGGAAAAGTAGTAGCCTATTCATTTTAGCAGTGTTATTGTGCATAAGTTAAAAATAATATAAATGGCACGAGCTAAATATGACATACAGAGGTGGGTGAAGTAGATTGTAAGTAAGTAAGAGTACTGTAACTGCAGAATAATATTACTAAAGTAGAAGTAGCCTAGAAGGTATTAGGCCCGGTTAATAGTAGTGTTGTAGTCAAGACAACACTAATCGAGACCAAAACCATTCAGAGACCACAGGGTCCCGAGACCAGGACAAGACCAAGACCTCTGAGAGTCAAGTCCGAGACAAGACCAAGACTTTTAACCCTCTATGTGTCTATGTGATCCCTCTCCTCGGGGTCACATAGACCAGGCGAGAAAAGTCGAGAAAATTAATTTTTGGGTCTGACATCCCCAAGAGAGCGGAAAGAAAAAAATAATAATTTCTTCGGGTCTATGTGACCCTGAGGAGAGCGTGAGGGGGTTAAAGGTTGAGATCGAGAAAAGAGTGAGACCACGGCCCCTTGAGACCAAATCAAGACCATCTTTGTCATTTTCTACATGTATTAGTATTTTACAGTTATTTTTGGCACATATACATATCAATGTTTTTATAAATCTATCTCTGTTTTATCTGATTAATGTTCATTTAGGCTTAAAATAGGCCAAGCAAATTGTACTGCACTTAAACACTCTTTTGTGCCCCTTTTTTGGACCCTCACCTACAGTTTGAGAACCTCTTCTTTAATCCCACTTCCACTGACACTTTACAGAAAACAAAGTTAACCAAGTGTTTTTTCAAGTTCATAACATTCACAGTTACATTATCTTACAGGTTTGCAGTGATATTTAGCAGCTTCTGCACATTTACCGGCCTTAATGCAATATGATCACACTAGTCGAGTGTCAGACCTCGAGTCTGAGACAAAGACCGAGACCAAGCTCCATCAAGACCGAGACAAAACCGAGTCCAGTTCGGCTGGAGTCCGAAACGAGACCAAGACGGTAAAAAAGTGGTCTCGAAGCCGGTCTCGGGATCAAGACCGGTCTCGAATACTATGACACTAGTTAATAGTGTTAAAAAACAACAACAACAACACTTAAGTAAAAGTTAAAAGTAGGAGAGGGTAACTAGGCCTTCTACTCGAATTATTTTAGGTGTCTGACTGGACATGTTTAATTTAGTTCATGTAATTGGAAAGACAAAACATTAAATAACGCACAAAATCGGGCTGGCTTTTTCTAAAATCAAATCTTAAAGAGTGGTGCAAGAAAAACATAAATTCAGTGTGTATGTGTGTGGGTGTAATAGTGTCAACTTAAAGCTTTTGTGACTTCTAGACTTACTTATTGTGTTGAGAGTAACCAAAACCTTTTACTCAAGTAAGACTACTGTTACATGGTAAAGAAAAAAAAAATAGGAGCAAAAGTAGGGTGTGTCTGAGAAGTAAAATGTTATATAAAAACAAAAAAAATGCAGTAAATGTAACTGAGTGCTGCCTCTTCTGTGTAGGCTTTGTTGCTTTGTTGAATCTTATGTTCATTTTGTCAAAAAACGCTTAAATACCTCTGGGAAGTTTGGATAGGCAAATATAAACCAGCAGTTACATGAAAAATTGCAATGAAAAAGTTACATAATAAAATTTTATATCATCATGGTTCCTTTATTTGACTGCCAGTGAAGGATTTATAGTCAAAATATCTTGCCTAACGACACAATGCCAGTATGAAGTATAGAAAAATGCTTGGAATTGAACCACCAACCCAATAGTTTACTCATCTATTAGTCACTATAAAACTTGTATAGATATTTCATTTTACTCCATGCAAAACAGTGTTATTTTTGTAGTACATGGAGTCTGGTTTACAGATGTAGGTCATTGAACTTGAGTAAAACTTTATAACCCATAAAAACACCAAACATCCATTCTCCAGAACAGTAGTTTACGAGGGTCTTTGAAGGCACCAGCAGCTGAGAGCAAAGACAAACGCATACAGTATTTGCTTTGCTGTCAATACAAGGACAGAGTCTGACATAATGCATTCTGTGCTCTGAACAAATGTGAACTTTAACCTTTGAAATCTCAGGAAAATCTATCATTCTGAACGTTTTAGCAAAGTGAGAAAGTGTAGACAAAACAATACACAAATTAGAGCACTGTGACTTCAAATGTTATCTCACAGTAGGAAATGTCCGTTCAGATAATCACTCATTTGGTTTCTCTGACAGAACATGAGAAAAAACCTTCATGTTTCACTCATACAGCTTAAAGTTGCACTGTGTAACTTTTCTTGGACTTGGAAGAGCGTCCGTCAGCTGCTTGTCTCCATGGAGATGTTATTTCTTTACCTGAAATCTTAAACTTATTCACTAACATTTGTTCATGCGATAAAACACTTCGCTTTTTACATGGTTTCTAACTGTAAATGGACTTTCCTCTCTTGGCTCCACCTACTAGATGGAGACAGAAGTTTAATGCCATACTGTGGAACATTTCAAGCAGAGCAATGACATTTCCACAGAAACAAAAAGGTGACGGACCCACTAAATCCTGTGTATCATTCGTTCATTCGTTTTTCAAAATAAAACCTAAAATAAGAAAACGAAAAAACAACAATTTTCTTCAATATTTGTCTCCAAAACCAAAATGAAAAAACAGATAATGATTTTATTTTTATTTTTTTCGATTTTGTGTTTAAATGAAAAATGGAAAAAAATGGATAATGGCCGTTTCCCGTTTTCATGACTTAAACTGCCATGCCGGACTGAAGGACTGAACCAGGACTAAAACAGGATTGAACCAGGACTAAACTGTTCTCAGTCCAGGTCTCAGTCCAGATCTCAGTCCCAGTCTGGTCCCAGTCTGGTCTTGGTCTCAGTCCTGATCACCTGACAGTGTACCTGGGCACATCTCTGGGTCTGTCCCAACACTCAGTCCTGGTTTAGTCCTGGTTTAGACCTGGTTTAGACCTGGATTACTCCTGGTTCATTCCGTATATGGCACAAAAGTCTGGCATCGTTGACCCGAAGAAATATTTTTTTTCCTTCTAGCTCTCTTGGGGCAGGTCAATCAGATCCAAAAATTTATTTTCAAATAAATTCTTGCCATGCGAAAAAATAAATTTTTGACCTGCCCCAAGGAGAGCGTGAGAGTTAAGTCACGGAAAAGGGAAACGGTCGTCATCCGTTTTTTCCATTATTCATTTAAACACATCGAAAACTGAAAAAACGAAATCATTATCATTTTTTTCATTTTGATTTTGGAGACAAATAATGAAGACAATAGTTCATTTTCTTATTCTTATGCTTTTATTTTGAAAAACTAACAAAGTGTGCCTTTAAATGGCAGTGATTTAGTATTTAGTACCAAGTATGGTTCAGGATTTTTTTATCCAACACAAAATGAAATGGATGAATAAATGTTGTCTGTGCCACTACACTGATAAACACTGTTCTGCCCTCACATGTGAACCTTATCAGATCTGCTTCTTAATGTGATTAGATTTACAGTGGAGCGTGCGTTAAGCTGAAGGGAAACATTTTGGTTTCAGATAATTCAATAAAGATTTTCAGATCAGCAGTTTGAGTCATGTGGCCTTGAGGCGCTCCTGGACTGACGGACAAAGTGTGATACAGAAACACGGATATAAAGCTCATGTTTGGGTTAAAGGAGATGCAAGAACAAGCTGTACCCAACGAGGCCACAACTGGGAGGGAACTGTGGAAAGAAAAACATTTACATACATGGATTTGTTCCTTTAAGTGTTGGAAAGTTTTGTGTTGGTATTTGACCCATCCTTCCGTCCCACTGGGTCATCCTGTCCAGAGAATATGGGTGGGTGTCTAAACCATTCACTTTTTTTTTTTTTTTTTTTTTTTTTTTTTTTGCGAATGGTCGTCTTGTTCACGAGTGAGGGGAGAATGGAGCGTGAGATTGACAGACGGATCGGTGCAGCGTCTGCAGTGATGCGGTCGCTGTATCGAACCGTTGTGGTGAAGCAGGAGCTGAGCTGAAAGACAAAGCTCTTGATTTATCGTCAATCTATGTTCCTCTCCTCACCTTTGGTCATGAGCTTTGGGTAATGACCGAAAGGACGAGATCATGGATACAAGTGGCTGAAATGAGTTTCCTCCGCAGGGTGGAGGAGGGTGAGGAGCTCAGTCACATGGGAGGAACTCGGCGTAGAGCCGCTGCTCCTCCATGATAAGAGGAGCCAGTTGAGGCTCGGGCATCTGTTCTGTATGCCTACTGGGCGTCTCAATCGGGAGCATGTCCCACCAGGAGGAGGCCCTGGACGCTGAAGGGACTTTGCCTCTCGGCTGATCCCCCAGGAGGAGCTGGAGGAAGTGTCTGGGGTGAAGGAAGTTTAGGAGTTCCTGCTTAGACTGCTGCCCCCGCAGCCCGGAGCTGGATAAGCGAAAGAAAATAGATGGATGTTTTTTCTTAAACCTTTATATAAATAAAGATAAAGATTCACTGTGTAACTTTGTGGTTGGGGGTTTGTCACCTGCTTGTTTCTATGGAGATGTCATTGCTCTGCCTGAAATGTTCCACAGTATGACATTAAACAGCTCTACCGTACATTTATTCAATTACAAGTGGTTTTATAACTTAAAAATACAAAGAAAAACAAGCATTCTGACTGTGATCTGACCTGTAACTTGGTCTGGTTTGGTATCCATAACTACAGAATGGTTTAATGCCATACTGTAATAAAAAGACAAAGCAATAACATCTCCATGGAGAAAAGCATTTGGCTGACCGTCCACCAGAAAAGTTACACAATGCACCTTTATGGTTAATCTTATTGCCCCATTAAGAAGATTTGCATCTGCATTTGACCCGTCTTCAAATCTTGAGCCAG